TTCACAAAATCTCTGCCCAGGAGACATTATTATCCTTGTTGTGAAAATCAGCTAAGGTCAAAGAAATGTTGTGACCTGCCCAAAGTCCCATAGCAGTTGGGTGGCAGAGTCAGGGCTAGAACCCACATCTGCTTGACTATGAAACCTCTGAGTTGAATCTGCAGTGGTCAGCGCTGTAGGTGCGGGGACAGGCTGAGTGCTGCAGGCTGGGGGAACTCCATGAGAGTGTCTGGCTTGGGTTCAGTGACCCACCCGGCCCTGCAGGGGCTCACCTGGACCGCCTGGTGCCCCTGGTGGAGGATTTCTGCAACCTGGATGATGATGAGCTCCGGGAGTCCTGCCTCCAGGCTTTTGAGGCCTTCTTGAGGAAGTATGTATGGTGGGATTGCCTGGGGACTCCTTTGGGAAGTTGGTGGGGATGCTGGCCTCAAAGCAGTAAAATTTCAGGACTCCCGTTGGGCCCTACCCCCTACTCCCATCCTGACTGGATTCAGCAAAGCATTCCTCATCCTACCCCACAGGTGCCCCAAGGAAATGGGCCCTCACGTGCCCAACGTGACCAGCCTCTGCCTCCAGTACATAAAACATGACCCCAACTACAACTACGACAGTGATGAGGATGAGGAGCAGATGGAGACAGAGGATAGTGAATTCAGTGAGCAAGGTTGGTGGATAGCCCGTCGTTGGGGTTGGAGGGTGGAGGTGAACACAGCCTTCTTGGGATCCCCCAGCCAAAGACAGTGGTCACATTTGGTGCCCCTGTCCTGATGCCAGCTCTTCCTCAAGCTCCAGTCCCACCTGCTGTGACTGCATAGAGCACAGTAATGATAGTAGTCATTGCTGTCATTTATTGAGCATTTGCTGGTTGTGTTCCTCACAAAAACCCCAGAAAAACAGATATTATTACCCCATGTTGCAGACAAGGACATATACTCAGAAGAGAGTGGCCTGAGATAACACAACTAGGAGTTGGCATAGCTGGGCCTTGGAGCCAGGTTTGTCAGACTCCCCCACCTCTGCACTGCCACTGTGTACCCTTTTATGAATGGCTTTCGGGAGATAATGTCTTTAACCCAGCAGAGGAAAGCCCTGATGGTGGAATGGCAGGCACTGGCAGGGGAGTGAGGTGTCTCAATTGGGGGTGGACTTGATAGCTTCTTTCCTCCTATGCCTGTGGTCCTGTCTGTCATTCAGACAGATTTCCAGGGCAGACATGCTGCTAGGCCTGAAGGCAGGGCATAGATGGAGACGATGGATTTAGAGCCTGATGGGGTACTTGGAACAAGATGGGATGGTAAATGAGATTGGACAGGCATGTGGGGGCCTTGAATGCCAAGCCAGGGAGGTGGGACACTTGTCAGTAATAGGGAGCTAAAGATGTGTGTTCATGGGTGGCCTGCTGTGGGGGTGACAGTGGTCCATCAGAGGGGATGGCTGCTGAGCTACCCGGTGGCCGTGGCCCACCGTGGCTGCCCAGACACCACCCTGTGGGTCCAAGTGGTCCACAGAGTGGTATGGGCAAGGCCATGCTGGCTCTGAGCCTTTGCCTCGGGGCACTCCCAGGCAAGACTGTCCTCCTCTGAGCCTCCTGAGTGCCTCCGCAGGTGATAGGGCTGGGCCTCGTGGGCCTGAATCTCAGCTCTGCTGTTCCTCGCTTTGTGCCCTGAGAGTCTCACCCACTCTGAGCCTTAGTCTTGTCATCTGTAAAATGGGGCTTGGCAGTACCTTCACTTCTGAGGTGATGGTAAAGACTGCATGAGCCCTTGACTTTCAGGGAGATTGTGGGGTAGAAAGCCACACAAACCCAGCATTTCCTCTTTATTAGTCCTGCCTGGAAGCCTTTGGAATCGGGACCCTTGAGAGGCAGAGATCAGGCAAGAGAAGAGGCCAAAGGGAGGCTCTGTCCCTTCTCCCTTCTGGAGTCCCAGTAAACGAAACATCACATAGCGAAACCTGATGCCAAAAGATGAGTTTTGTGCCCCAAATTGATTCTCCAAGTCTACATGACGACTTGGAAGTCTGTTTTTTCCCTGGTACAGTCCAGACAATTAAGGGTCTGCAGGCAGGGAGGACTCTAGTTTAACTCCAAGTATTTCCTTAACTTGGAGCAATCCACTTCCTCTCTCTAAACCCCAATTTGCTCACCTCTATAATGGGGAAATAATCCCTGTCTCAAAAGGTCATCATGAAGCTAAAATAAGATTATGGGTTTGACACACTTAGCCCCATCTGTAGCACACAGTAGATACCTGTTAAAAGGTAGGGAACGTTCCCCATAGGGTATCTATAAAAGCTGATCAGCAAAAGGTGAAGCACAGTGCCCGGCTCCCTCTCCTCCCCATCCCTTCTCCCCCGAGCCGCAGACCTGTCCTGGGAGATGAGGGTTCCCCGTGTATCTTGTTCCTGCCCCAGAGAGTGAGGATGAGTACAGCGATGATGATGACATGAGCTGGAAGGTGCGCCGGGCAGCTGCCAAGTGCATCGCAGCCTTGATCAGCTCGCGGCCTGACCTGCTGCCTGATTTCCACTGCACCCTGGCACCTGTGCTCATCCGCCGCTTCAGAGAACGCGAGGAGAATGTCAAGGCTGATGTCTTCACCGCTTACATCGTGCTGCTGCGGCAAACGCAGCCCCCAAAGGGATGGCTGGAGGCCATGGAGGAACCCACCCAGACCGGCAGCAACCTCCACATGCTACGTGGACAGGTAGGCGTGCCTTCACCTCCACCCCTTACCCCCAATTTGCCCACCCAGCCACTCACTGTTAGTGTCCCTGGACTTGGAAACTCACCTGGGGAGAACATCCAGCTGTGGAAGGGAAGGGAAGGGGTCCCCGGGGTGGGGGGCAGGAGCCAGCCAGGCTTCTGGAGTGTGGTAGTGACAGCCAACCTGCCTGGGTGACCTTGAGCAAGTTGCTTGGTGTCTCTGTACCTGTAAAATGGATGCGGGAAATTTGCCTACCCTCCAAGGGTCTGTGTGCAGTCACCAAAAGCCTGGCACAGAGTGAGGGATGAGTGCTTGGGAGATACCTTGATGCCGACATCCTCCCTGGGGATGTGTCTGGCAAAGCCTCCTGGTAGTGGGCAGCCTGGGAGGTTTCTTTGGTGGTCCCTGACCTTGACTTCCCCCTCCTGTCCACAGGTGCCCCTTGTGGTCAAGGCCCTGCAGCGGCAGCTTAAAGATCGGAGCATCAGAGCGCGCCAGGGATGCTTCAGCCTCCTCACCGAGCTGGCAGGCGTCCTCCCCGGCAGCCTGGCTGAGCACATGCCTGTGCTGGTATCAGGTAGGCTGGAGTGCAACCAGGTATCTGCTGTTCTGGGCCACTTCCAGAACCCAGACCCCACCCCTGAGTTGAGCCTCCAATTTCTGAGAGAGTCTGGGACCCAGTCCCAGGCTCAGTCCCTGGTCAAGAGTCTCCAGTGGCCTCCCACTACCAGTAGTGAGAACAAGGCTGGTTCCAATGAGTTCCCTGGACATGTTTCCCTCAACCCTGGCCACTGGTCAGCGCTGACTTCTTGGAAACTTCTGCAGAAGAGTTTAGGTGCTTCAGTCCAGCTCAGGCACCTGTAGGTATCCCCGCCTTGCTTCCAGGGAGGGCCGCGTTGCATCAGAGGCGGTGGCCTCATAACCCTTGTACTCACCCTACAGGCATCATCTTCTCGCTGGCCGACCGCTCCAGCTCCTCCACCATCCGGATGGATGCCCTGGCCTTTCTGCAGGGGCTGCTGGGCACTGAACCAGCTGAGGCCTTCCACCCACACTTGCCCACCCTCCTGCCACCTGTGATGGCCTGTGTGGCTGACCCTTTCTATAAGATTGCAGCTGAGGCCCTGGTGGTGTTACAGGAGCTGGTGCAGGCCCTGTGGCCGCTGGACAGGCCTCGGATACTGGATCCTGAGCCGTATGTTGGAGAGATGTCTGCGGTTACCCTGGCGCGACTCCGTGCCACTGACCTGGACCAGGAGGTGAAGGAGCGGGCCATTTCCTGCATGGGCCACCTTGTAGGCCACCTGGGTGACCGGCTTGGGGATGACCTGGAGCCCATATTACTGCTCCTCCTGGACCGCCTGCGGAATGAGATCACCCGGCTGCCTGCCGTCAAGGCGCTTACGCTGGTGGCTGTGTCCCCGCTGAAGCTTGATCTACAGCCCATCCTGGCCGAGGCACTGCCCATTCTGGCCTCATTCCTGCGGAAGAATCAGCGGGCTTTGCGACTGGCCACACTGGCAGCCCTGGATGCCCTGGCCCAGAGCCAGGGCCTCAGCCTCCCACCGTCTGCCGTGCAGGCTGTGCTGGCTGAGCTGCCTGCCCTGGTCAACGAGAGTGACATGCACGTGGCCCAGCTGGCTGTGGACTTCCTTGCCACAGTGACCCAGGCCCAGCCAGCCTCTTTGGTAGAGGTCAGTGGCCCTGTGCTCTCAGAGCTGCTGCGGCTGCTGCGTTCACCCCTGTTGCCAGCCGGGGTTCTGGCAGCCGCTGAAGGCTTCCTGCAGGCCCTGGTGGGGACCCGTCCCCCATGTGTGGACTATGCTAAACTCATCAGCCTGCTCACTGCTCCTGTTTATGAGCAGGCTGTGGATGGTGGGCCTGGCCTGCACAAGCAGGTGTTCCACTCATTGGCCCGGTGTGTGGCAGCCCTCTCAGCTGCCTGTCCCCAAGAGGCGGCAAGCACAGCCAACCGTCTGGTCTGCGATGCCAGGTCACCCCACTCCAGCACGGGGGTCAAAGTCCTGGCATTCCTGTCGCTGGCTGAGGTGGGTCAGGTGGCTGGGCCAGGCCCCCAGCGGGAGCTGAAGGCAGTGCTCCTGGAAGCCTTGGGGTCACCCAGTGAGGATGTGAGGGCTGCAGCCTCGTATGCACTGGGCCGTGTGGGTGCTGGCAGCCTGCCCGACTTCCTGCCCTTCCTGCTGGAGCAGATTGAGGCTGAGCCCCGACGACAGTACCTGCTGCTGCACTCACTTAGGGAGGCCCTGGGGGCCGCCCAGCCTGACAGCCTGAAGCCCTACGCTGAGGACATCTGGGCCCTGCTGTTCCGGCGCTGCGAGGGCGCCGAGGAGGGCACCCGGGGGGTGGTGGCCGAGTGCATTGGGAAGCTGGTCCTTGTGAACCCTTCATTCCTTCTGCCCCGCTTCCGGAAGCAGCTTGCTGCAGGTAGGCACACAGGTGTGGGCAAGGCAACCCAGCGCGGAGGTGGGCAGTTTGTCACTGAGCATCCGAGCAGCTGGGGCAGAGTGAGCTATTTCAAGTCATTGGGTACAAGAATCGTGGTATCTATGCGACAGAGGCAAGGAAGCTACAGAGGAACACACAGTGATACCTGAGACTTAAAGGCTCCCTTCTATGGGACTGTGGGATAGAAGGGACAGAGTCCTTGATAGGTCCCTACAACAAATACACTTAAAAATCTCATGATGTTGGCTAGGCATGGTGGCACATGTCTGTAATCCCAGCACTTTGGGAGGCTAAGGTGGGTGGATCACTTTGAGCCTAGGAGTTTGAGACCAGCCTGGGTAACATGATGAGACCCCGCCTCTACAAAAAAAAAAAAAAAAAAAACATGATGCCAACTTCATAATCCTCGATGTGGACAGTAGCTTAGTGCTCCACACAGAGGTCAACAAAAACAGTTTTCTGAGTAGCCATAGACTGCAACCTGCAGAGGGTCAGCTCTTTTCAGCTAGCCTGAGCCATGAGCAGATGTCAGTATGGACTGGGACAGGCTGACATGCCCCTGAGGCTTGGGGAGGGCTGGGCAGGAACCAGGAGGGGCAGGCGTTTTGGTTTGTCATGTTTTGGCATACCAGGTATCTTAGCTTCAGGAGGTAGAAGGCAGGCAGGTGGGGTCGTGGGGCTCCTAGGAAAGGGAGAGTCCCCAGAATGAAAGGCCAGTGGGCTTCAAGCTGGCCAGCTGGCCCCTTACGGAACCAGTGGGTGCTCTGGTTGACAGAACGCAGGTACAGTGTTTGGTACACTGTGTGGTACCTACAGTAATTAATACTGAGTAAGTTGAGAGCTGCTGCTGTTACTAGGTATGTTAGTGATTTCAGTTAAGGCCTTCTTGGGTTGCTGGGTTCATAAGAAGCAGTTGTCTGGCCTCATGACTAGATGGAAGAACATTGTCAAGGACACTGTCTGTTACATCACACAAAGAACCTTGACAGACGAGAGTCTTAAGATGCAGAGGAGCCCTGCTTTGCCTAAACACCTATTTGTTTCTGTCCCACGTATTCTGTTGAACTAGCCACCTGGTCACATTTCCTTTTTACCACCAACTGCTGGGAAGCTTAGAGCCAGATGAGTGTCCTGCTTCTAGTAGGTTCCTGGAACTTCCTAACTGATGCTCTCTGTACGTCTTCCTTCTAGTCTCCTTCTCACCTCCCTGCCTTCAGTCGTCCTTGGCCTTGTTCTTGTTTTCAGTTCACTTAATCTTACTCTCTTGTGCCTGTCTTCATCAGCCACCCTAAATCTTCCTGGGAGCCAGTCAGGCTGGCAAGAGAAAGAGGTAAAAGCTAAAAGTCTGAGTTCAGTAACTCTTCTATTCATTCATGCCTTAGCACCAATTGGTAAACTTTTCCTCGAGGCTGAATGTAAAGCCTGTGTGGTGGAAGCACCGTAGCCCACTCGCTGCAGTGTGCTGGGGGTTGGGCGGGGGGCAAGAGGGGCAAGCCACTGAGGAGAGATTCAGGCAGGTGGAGCATCCACCCATTTGTTTCTTTCTTTAAGGGAATGTCCTCCCCCTCTTTATTCGGCTTCTCTACTCAGAAAGCAAGCAGCAGAGCACAAGTAAGCGAGCTCTCCGTGACCGAGCCTGGAGATGATCCGAGTTCTGTTAGGCCCCCCTGACCACCAGCCAGAATGCAGGCCCAGGAGGAAGGGCCCAGCCAGGAATTCTGGATCTGCTGTGTGGCCTTAGACACGAACTTATCCTCTCTGAGTCTCTTTTCTCGTGTGTCAAAGAGATGATTTTTATTGGTGATTTTAATACTATTTTATCATTATTAATTAATAGGATCACTGTTAGGACTAATTGAGATAACATGTCTGAAAAATCCCAAGGCCTGAGGGAAGGTCTTTGTCGGAGCAGTTCCTGTCTTGGTTATCGGTTCCCTGTTTGCAACCTGTGGTGTGGTTACCTAAGCACTGTCAGTCCTACTGTTTCAGCTACAGCATGAAGGATTGAGGGGAGATTCAAGGCTGCCAAGGGAAATGGTAGAATCCACTTTCTCAGAGATGGGGAGGGGGTACAGTTCTGTCTTCCAGGGAAGCAAGGGGAGGAGCCTCTGCACCTTCTGACCTGTAAGCATCCAGGTTTGGCCCCTGCCCCTTACTAACTCACCTCCACCTCTTCTTGTTCTGCAGGTCGGCCACACACCCGGAGCACCGTCATCACAGCGGTCAAGTTCCTCATCTCGGACCAGCCCCATCCCATTGACCCCCTCCTGAAGAGCTTCATCGGTGAGCACCTCCCTCCTGCCTCCCCTACCTTGTTCAGTGCCCCCACCCAGTCCTTAAGCTTGGGCTGATATTTCCTACGCAATAGCCAAGGGCAGTGGGAGACCTGGGAGGCATGCCCATGATGGGCAGCAGGGCCTGGCCCTCCAGTTAAAAGGCCTGGGTTCACATCCCTGCCTCCCTACTGCCACTAAATCATGGGTGGGCCTGGCATGTCCATCACACCTCTAAGCCTTGCTTTCCTCATCTGTCAAATGAACGTGAGAAACTCTTATTATCTGCATCTTCTAGAGTTGTCCTGGAGGCCCATGGGCAACTGAGGGAGAAGATGCTTCATAAACATATAGACTCTTGGGAATGGAAAACCACCAGCCTCTCACATACCTTAGCTTTTATGGGCCCTAAAGTGGGGCAGGGAAGAGTGCTCCCCCCGCCACCCTGCCCACTAGATCGCCCTCTGTCTGAGGGGTCTTCTGGCCTGAGGATCCCAAGCAGCCTTCACTGTGAGGAGAGGAACTGAGACCTCCCAACACTTTGGGAGGCCAAGGCAGGTGGATCACCTGAGATCAGGAGTTCAAGACCAGCCTGGCCAACATGGTGAAACCCCGTCTCTACTAAAAATACAAAAATGAGCCAGGCGTAATGGCGGGCACCTATAATCCCAGCTACTCTGGAGGCTGAGGCAGGAGAATCACTTGAACCCAGGAGGCAAAGGTTGCAGTGAGCGGAGATTGTACCACTGCACTCCAGCCTGGGTGACAGAGCAAGACTCTGTCTCAAAAAAAAAAAGAAAAAAAAAAAATTAGGCATGGTGGCAGTGGGAGACTGCCACCCACTAAAGAAAAAAAAAAAAAAAGTGTTGATCCTCATCTGCCAGGGGCCTGTTGTGTGAGACCAAGGGGTCAGCAGATGTGACCACGTTCTACACTGGAGAACATGTGCAGAAGTTCTAGCAATGTCATCGGCAGCAACTTTGTCCCTTGCCCTAGTGCGGTGGGCACGTGCCCCACCCCCCGCCTGATTTCCTCCATCGTGACGGAGCTGCCCTTGGTGAGCACCACCAGCGATTTCACCTGGGGTTCCTGTTTGCTTTAGAACATTTGAACTGTTTTTGAGCTCTCACTGTGTGTCAGGCACCACATCAGACCCTTTAATATACCTCATCACAGTGGTGCTCACAGCTCCCTCCGTGGTGTGTAGGACTGGCCCCATTTTACATGTGAGGAAACTAACTCAGAGCGGGGATGTGAACTCGGGTCTTGCCAGTTCCCCACAGCTGTGTTCTCACCGAGAATGGGGAACCTGGGAGCTAATGCGGCACCATTGAAAGGGGCCCAGAAGAGGCTTCTGGCTCTGAGCTTGCATCCTGTTCTGCTGGGAGCCTTCCTGCCCTTCCCAGTGCATCACATCAGGGGCACGTGGAGGTGGCTTGTCTCCTGACTGGCGATGGTAACTTTGATCACCCAGTTCAGATGGATACCGCCAGGGTTTCTCTCTACTCTAAAGTTTCTCTTTTTTCCTTTGGAATGAATATGAATTCTTGAGTATATAAAATAAGTATTTTATGTAAACATCCTTGTTCTCATCAATTTTTTTGCCCACTAGGTTTAGCATCCACGGTTGTTTCTTGCCTGAGTCAATGATTACTGTGATATTTGCCAAATGGTGACTTTCTAGTTCCATTATTCTTTCCATAGTTATAGGTTTGCATTCTACTGTCTGGAAGAACCTTTTCTTCTCTTGCATTTATTTATTTATTTATTCATCAATTTATTTGTCATTAGAGACTCATGGCTTCTTCCTACTTCATTCTGTGGGTTATAACCTATTACTGTCTTTAATTTTGATGCTCAAGATTGTCTCAGATTTGGCCATTGGGAGCGCTTCAAGCTGGTTCCTATTTTCTATTGACATGTTTCCTTTTTTTTTTTTTTGAGAGACAGAGTCTCAGTCTGTCACTCAAGCTGGAAGGCAATGGCACAGGCATACCTTACTGCAACCCTTGCCTCTCAGGCTCAAGAAATCCTCCCACTTGAGCCTCCCTAGTAACTGCGACTACAGATGTGCGCCAGCCACCACGCCTGTCTACTTTAAAAATTTTTTTTTATAGAAACAGCATTTTGCTATGTTGCCCAGGCTGGTCTTGAACTCCTAGGCTTAAGTGATCCACTCACCTTGGCCTCCCAAAGTGCTGGGATTCCAGACGTGAGCCCCCATGCCCAGCCTCCATCATTCTTTTAAGTGTATCCTTGCTTTTGGCACGATGAGATGCTCCAGATTCATCGCAAACCTTTTCTGCACCAGTCCTGGAATCAGCCATTTCTCCAAGGAGTCCTGATTCCTTTTAGTGGAGAATGGTATTTAGAATCCAAGATCTGGACACTAGATGTGCCTATTGCTATTGGGGCCTCATTGCTTCTAGGCCCTCTCAGCAGACGGAACTAGGAAATGCATGTCTATATGCAGAGACAAACATGCACGTGCATATCTGTGCTTCCAGATGCACATTCATCCACATCTTTTTGTCCCTCCTTCTTTCCCTCCCTGCCTCTCTTTCTGTCCCTCTTTCTCCTCCCTCTCTTCTACCTACCTACCCACCTATCTTGAAAATCTTGAGTTCATAGCTGCTTCCTATTGTAGTCTAGCCCCCTTTCCATATCTGTAACTCCTTTCTCTTACAGTAAGAAACCCAGCTCCCATTATCTACAAGATATTTATTTTCTTAATCCTGAAATACACAGAAAGTAGTCTGAGAATTGCTGACTCTTCTCTGTGGAAATTAATATTCATGGGTAGTTTTTTTGTCTTCCGCTAGAGGACAGCTAGTCAAAATACTCAAAGTGGCTTGGTTTGTTTTCTCCTTCATAACCTGGGTGGTTACGTGGATCATTTTAAATACAGTTTTGTTTGTTTGTTTGTTTTTGAGGATGGGTACGGTGGTTCACTCCTGTAATCCCAGCACTTTGGGAGGCTGAGGCGGGAGGATCACCTGAGGTCAGGAGTTAGAGACCAGCCTGGCAAAACCCCATCTCTACCAAAAAATATAAAAATTAGCTGGGTATAGGCCAGGCATGGTGGCTCATGCCTGTAATCCCAGCACTTTGGGAGGCCAAGGCGGGTGGATCACGAGGTCAGGAGATTGAGACCATCCTGGCTAACATGGTGAAACCCTGTCTCTACTAAAAATACAAAAAATTAGCCGGGGTGGTGGTGGGCACCTGTAGTCCCTCCCAGCTACTCAGGAGGCTGAGGCAGGAGAATGGCGTGAACCTGGGAGGCGGAGCTTACCTGGGAGGCGAAGCTTACAGTGAGCTGAGATCGCGCCACTGCACTCTAGCCTGGGCGACAGAGCGAGACTCTGTCTCAACAACAACAACAACAAAAAAAACCTGAGTGTGGTGGCACACGCCTGTAATCCCAGCTACCTGGGAGGTTGAGGCATGAGAATTGCTTGAACCTGGGAGATGGAGGTTGCAGTGAGCCTAGATCGTGCCACTGTACTCCCTCCTGGGCAACAGAACGAGACTGTCTTTTTGACTCAAACAAATAAATAAATAAATAAATAGTTTTTTGCGTTTTGGTTTTATATTTAGGGATTCCCCCATCCTTGATTTTCTTTATTAAATATATAAAACATTAACAATTCTAAAATGTTTCAACTATAATGGCTGGGCATAGTGGCTCATGCCTGTAATCCTAGCACTTTGGGAGGCTGAGGCAGGAGGATCACTTGAGTCCAGGAGTTTGAGACCAGCCTGGGCAACATAGTGAGACCCCCCTATCTCTAAAAAAATTTTTTTTTCCAAACCAACATGGCACATGCATACCTATGTAACAAACCTGCATGTTGTGCACATGTACCCTAGAACTTAAAGTATAATAATAATAAAATTTTTTTTAAGTTTAAACTCTATATCATAGTCCCTTTTCTGCTACTATAGCAGAATACTACAGATTGGGTAATTTATAAAGAAGAGAAATTTATTCCTCACAGTTGTGGAGACTGAGAGGTCCAAGAACATGGCGCCAGCATCTGGTGAGGGCCATCCCATGGTGGAAGGGAGGGCAGAAGTGAGTATGGGAGACAGAGAGATGAGATGGGGGCTGAGCTTTTCCTTTAACAGGAGCTCCCTCCCATGAAAACTGACCCACTCCTGTAGTGACGGTATTAATCCATGCCTCAGGGCTTCACCCTCACGACCTAATCACTTCTCAATACTATTACCATGGCAATTAAGTTTCAACATGAGTTTTGGTGGGGACATTCAAATCATAGCACTGTACAAGTCTGGGCGCAGCAGCTCGTGCCTGTAATCTCAGCAATTTGGGTGGCCAGGGTGGGCGGATCACTTGAGGTAAGGAGTTCGAGACCAGCCTGGCCAACATGGTGAAACCCCGTCTCTACTAAAAATACAAAAATTAGCTGGGCATGGTGGTGTGTGCCTGTAATCCCAGGTACTTGGCAGGCTGAGGCGGGAGAATCACATGAACCTGAGAGGTGGAGGTTGCGGTGAACCGAGATCACACCACTGCACTCCAGCCTGGGCAACAGAGTGAGACTCTGTCTCAACAACAAAACAAAAAGATAGCACTGTGCAAAAAGGAGTATCCTGAGAAGTGCTGGTGACTTGACCGCTCTGATCTTTAAGAACCTCGCCTGTGATACCAAGTTAACATTCACAGAGTTCATGCTCTGTGCCAGGCACTCTGCTATGTGCCTTCCATGCATTACCACATTAAAAAATTTTTCTTTTTTTTTTTCCAAGATAATGCTGAGGCACCACATTTTAAATTGTAAACACAGTCCTATAGCATAGGTTCTCTTATGACTCCCATTTTACAGATGAGGACATTGAGGCTCTCCAAGGCCCCACAGTTAATTAGTAGAGCTGGAATGGAAGCCAGGTCAGCCTCGAGCCCACATTCTTATCTGGTCTTTGAAGGGTTGTTTGTGCCTGGCACAAAATACATGTTCACCACTCCCAGCTTACCCCCATTCAGCCAGTTCTGCACATGCACAGTAACCAGATGGCCAGGGCGGTGAGGGCGGTGACTGTGCTGTGGCTATGCATCCCCCGCACCCCTCATGTTCTTCTGCCAGGAGAGTTCATGGAGAGCCTGCAGGACCCAGATCTGAACGTGCGCCGTGCGACTCTGGCTTTCTTCAACTCAGCTGTGCACAACAAGCCCTCGCTAGTCCGGGACCTGCTGGATGACATCCTGCCCCTCCTCTACCAGGAGACAAAGATCCGCCGGGACCTCATCCGAGAGGTGTGGAGCAGAGCTGGGGACCCTGGGGAAGCTGGGGGTGATGCCACCTCTCATGCCTCATTGATAGGGCATTATTATCTCATCAGAGTAGGTGCTGGGGCCACATGCCTTGGGTCAAGTCCTGCCCTGACTCCCAGCTATGTGACCCCAGCCAGGGCAACCTGATCCTCTCTGAGCCTCAGTTTCTCTTCGTGAGCACATGAGGGTGCTAACTGTGTCTGTGTCGTAGGGTTGCTGCAACAATTCGGTGAGCGAGGTCCTGTAAGTGTTTAGAACCACCACAGGCACACAACCAGCACCCAGTAAACGTTGACATTTGGCAGGTGTTCACTGAACATCTGCGCTGAGCCCAAGTGCCAGGACTCAGGGTTGAACCTGATTTGGTTTCTGCCACCAAGGAGCTCATCATGGCCCCCTAAAGGAGAGAGATGCCCACTCTGCTGATTACAGACAGCCCCCTCCTTACAATGGTTCAACTTTACAATGGTGCAAAAGCAGTAGCGTTCAGCAGGCTCCTCACCTTATGATGGGATTGCCTCTGGAAACCAACTTATGATGGACCTATTGTGACATAATCCCATCATACACCAAGAATGCATTTAACTTAGAGCCCACCTGGTAAAGTAAGGATTCAAGGGGCAAAGGTTAAAGGTGATTTAATAAGTTTCAGCTGTGGAATACTAGCAGCATTGAGGCCCTTTAAGCTGGGCTTTGAAGGGTGAAAAGGTGTTTACCATTAAAACAGGGGTTCATGGTTGAAAGCTTCAGAAAGACCTGGGTGTCTTTTTTGTTGTTTTTTTGAGACAGGGTCTTGCTGTGTCACCTAGGCTGGAGTGCAATGGCACAGTCACAGCTCACTGCAGCCTCAACCTCCTGGGCCCAAGCGATCCTCCCACCTCAGCCTCCTGAGTAGCTGGGACTACAGGCGTGTACCACCACACCTAGCTAATTTTTTGTATTTTTTTGTAGAGATGGGGTTTCACCATGTTGCCCAGACTGGTCTCAAAATTCCTCCTGCCTCAGCCTCCCAAAGTGCTGGGAGGACAGCCATCATGCCCAGCCTACCTGGGTTTTAAATTCCAGTTCAGCCACTTACAAGCAGTGTATCCTTAACCTGTCCAACCCAGTTAATTAACCTGCCCAATGCAGTTTCCTCGTCTGTTAAATGAGATCAATAATATTTCTTTTTGAGATGGAGTCTCGCTCTGTCACCCAGGCTGGAGTGCAGTGGTGCGATCTCAGGTCACTGCAACCTCCGCCTCCCTGGTTCAAGAGATTCTCCTGCCTCAGCCACCTGAGTAGCTGGGACTACAGGCATGTGCCACCACACCCGGCTAATTTTTTGTATTTTTAGTGGAGATGAGGTTTCACTATGTTAGCCAGGATGGCTTCAATCTCTTGACCTCGTGATCCACCTGCCTTGGCCTCCCAAAATGCTGGGATTACAGGCGTGAGCCACCGTACCCAGCCAGTAACATTTACTTCTGATGGTATTTGTGATACTTGAATGAAACGTCATCCATCAAGCACTCAGTACAGTGCCTGCCGCTCAGACAGTGCCTGCTCAGTAGATTATAAGAATAATTGTTCTTATTGCCACTATTATCACCTAGGGGAAAGGATGCTGCAGGCTGAGCAAAGGTATGGAGACTTGAGAGTGTAAGGCATGATTTGGGGCTGGCGTGCAGTGTGGAATAGAGATGTGGGGTTTATAGCAGAAACTACAAGAGGTGTCCTTACACCCTGGGGCCATATCCCCAACCTTCATCTCTCCTGCAGGTGGAAATGGGTCCCTTTAAACATACAGTGGACGATGGGCTGGACGTGCGGAAGGCGGCCTTTGAGTGCATGTATTCACTGCTTGAGAGCTGCCTGGGCCAGCTGGATATCTGTGAGTTCCTGAACCATGTGGAGGACGGGCTGAAGGACCACTACGACATCCGGGTAAGACCAAGCCCCTGCCAGATCTATGTGCCCCTGTACCAAGTGATAGTCAGGCACCACTGGGGCCATGCTTGTTTGTCCTTGCTCGCTACTCCAGGCACCCAGTGACGATAGCGGCATTGTTGTTTTCTGATAAGAAAAGGAACCTGTGCCTCAGATACCTTTGGTGGGAGTCTACACTGGGCAGGCTCTTTGGAGGATGGTTTGGCAGCAACCAGAAAAAAAAATTGTCCAGGTGTGGTGGCTCATGCCTGTAATCCTAGCACTTTGGGAGGCTGAGGCAGGAGGATGGCTTGAGCCTAGGAGGCTGCAGTGAAATGTGATCGCACCACTACACTCTAACCTGGGCAACAGAGTGAGACCCTGTCTCAAAATAAATTAAAAAAAAAATAAATAAATAAATAAATAAATTCCCAGATGAAACTTTTGACCCAGCAGGGCACTTTGAGCTGTGGAATACTAGCAGCATTGAGGAGCGGGCTGCATCTCTTCATGTTGTGACCTGAAGGAGCTCCAAGCCCCACTGTTGAGTGGCAAGAGCTAGTTCCAGAAGTTAGGGCCATTTTCTTACCAGAGAGAATGAGGCTGGGGCTGGTGGAACAGTGCGGAGACTTCGGTTTCTTCATTTTATATCTTTCTATATCATTTTTTAAAATTTTAAAGTTTATTCACATATATAATAGAAATCATTTCTAATTGTGGTGAAATATTAATAATACAAGTTACTATCTTCACTTTTTTTTTTTTTTTGAGACAGGGTCTTGCCGTCACCCAGGCTGGAGTGCAGTGGTATGATCTCAGCTCACTGCAGCCTCCGCCCCCCAGGTTCAAGCAATTCTCCTGCCTCAGCCTCCCAAGTGGTGGAGTGCCCACCACCACACCCAGCTAAATTTTTTTTGTATTTTTAGTAGAGACGGGGTTTCACCATGTTGACCAGGCTGGTCTCGAACTCCTGACCTCAATCTGCCTGCCTTGGCCTCCCAAAGTGATGGGATTACAGGTGTGAGCCACCGTGCCAGGCCCTGTCTTCACTGTTTTTAAGTGCACAGTGCAGTGGCATTAAGCAGATTCACATTGCTTTGCAGCCATCACCACTGTCCATCTCAGAACTCTTTTCTCCTTCCCAAACTGAAATCTGCACCCATTAAACACTATTCTCGATGAATTTGACTACTCTAGGATTCTGTCCTTGTAAGTGGAATCATACAGTATTTGTCCTTTTGTGACCGACTTGTTTCACTTCTTAGTCTGATGTCCTCAAGGTTCATCCATGTTGCAGCACATCAGAATTTCCGTCTGTTGTATGTACAGACCACAGTTTGTTTACCCACTCATCCATTGTAGGACAAATATTTGGGTGTTCCCAGCTTCTGGCTATTATGAGTAATGTGACTGTGAACCTAGGTGTTCCAATATCCTTTGGAATCCTGCCTTCAGTTCTTTTCACTTTACCCACAAGTGAAATTGCTGGATCATAGGGCAATTCTGTGTTTAATGTCTTAAGGAACTGCCATACTACAACTTTATTTTTAAATTTTTATTTATTTGTTTGAGATGGAGTCTCACTTTATTGCCTAGGCTGGAGTACATTGGTGCCATCTTGGCTCACTGCAACCTCCGCCTCCCGAGTTCAAGTGATTCTCCTGCCTCAGCCTCTTTGAGTAGCTGGGATTACAGATGTGTGCCACCACACCTGGCTAATTTTTGTAATTTTTAGTAGAGACAGGGTTTCACCATGTTGGCTAGGCTGGTCTGGAACTCCTGACTTCAGGTGATCCACCCACCTCGGCCTCCCAAAGTGTTGGGATTACAGGCGTGAGCCACCATGCCTGGTCCCATATTACAACTTTAAAAAATATGTACTGTAAGCATGAGTCACTTTTTATAATGAAAAAGTAATACAAAGTAATCAAAAGTAACCCATACTTGTTTTAAAAGATTGATGAAAACAAAGAAGCCAGTAATAATCATCCAAAAGCTTCCCCCCACCCAGCGAGGCCTGCTGTCAGTCTCTGTGTTTCCTGGGATGATGCACATAGACCCTCATTCATTAGTCAATCCATATGAAGTGGGTGCCACCACGCCGAGGTCAGTGTGAGAGGTGGGGTCCCTGCTCTGAAAGCTGTGGAGATGAGTGTATGAGATCTGTTTTCTAGAAATGGGATCACACCACACGTGCTGTTTTTTCCCCAGTCTTTTAACTTACATTTACTGTATGTTTTTTGCTTTGCTTTTCAGTATGTATCAGTCCTGTCATATTTCACAGCTGCGGGAGTTCCCATTTCTGTTGCACTCACTGCTACACATGTAGGTTGTTTTGCACATTTTCACTATTACAGACAGTGCTGCTGTGAACACCCTGGTGCATTACTGACCCATGGTGTGATCGCTGGGCTTCTACGGTGGAGTGCGTGCTCCTGCTAGAGCATCTGATGCACGTGGTGAGGCTGCACCTCCTGCAGTGGGTGTGCCTCTGACCACTGCAGACTTGGAGCTCCCGGGATGCTCCTTCCTGCACTCCCTGTCTGCCTGTTTCCTCTTTGGCTTTATTATTGCTTTAAACTTGCTTCCCGCCAACCCCTAAGAAAGAGAGAAGAAGAAACAACATAAGTTCTCTGGGGTTCCAGCCCCAAGGTCTTGGTTGAGAAAGGGGGTTGGGTTTTCCAGTGTATGCCATGAGAACTAGCGGAAAATCATGGGGCGCACAAAGCTGAACAGGACTTTCCACCACAGGGTTCCGGGAGGCTCCAGGCGGGAGGGGTGTACTCAGCTTCTCTCATTTGGGTGTGCGTGGTATTAGGCATCTTGTGGGGCTCAGTAGATGCCCAGAACAGCCCAGAACACCCCAGAACACAGAGTGAGGAGTTCTGGGCTGGCCCCAAAGCTCCAGCTTCTCAGGATCGAGCAAGTCTGTTCTTTCCGCCCAGTCTGGCCATATCCTCTCATGCCTGCCCTCAGGACCACAGGACAGGGCCTAGGCACCAGTGCAGCCTTGGAGCCCACTCTGTTACCACCCCCTGGGGTGAGGAGGGTGGGTGTGACAGCGACAGAGCCCACAGCCTTGCATCATCAAGTCTTCAAGTGAGAGGGAGTGAACACCGCCCAGTTCACAGGGGAGACAGGGAATCTTGTCTAGTTCGAGGGCACAGGGTCGTGGAGGAGCCAAGAGTCATAGCTCGTGAAGTCCGGCACTGCTGCTCCTCGCTGCCGTGGGCTGGGCCTCTTCCTTTGCTGTGGGTGTAGGGGTCAGCATGTGGGGATGGGTAGGGCATGGGGATTTCAGACAACCACTCTTTATGCTGTGCAAGGCTTTTTTGTGAGGACTTGACCATTTCCAAAAGATGTGACAGTTATTCTCCCACAGGCTGAATTTAGGCCTGCAGTCATGTTTAGTTGGTGTCAAAGTTTTTGTTTGGTTTTGAAATCAGGTGTCAACATTTAAAAATCGAGACTTTTTTTTTACATGAAAATCGGGATTTCTTTTGAAAACATTTCAGTGGCCCCAAGCCACATGTCTGCATTCCCACCTGGCCACAGTCAGCCAGAGCTGCCCCAGCAGCCCCCTTCACTCATCCCCAGCATCTGCCTGACTGATGCGCATCGGAGCTTGAGTACGACTCCCTTCCTGGTGCTTATCTGATCCTCCTTGGGTCAGCCAAGTGTAGTTGGCAAAGAAAGTGTCACCATTTGAGGAAACAGACCCAGAGAGGGAGGGACTCTGGCAGGACTTCATGGTGGTCTGAACTTGGGCGTCAGGTTTCGGGTGTGGGGCCTCTGCTCTTTCCCAGGGCTGGCTGCTTCTCTTGCTCCTGCACCATTTCACTAAGAACTGTCTCCTGTCTCCTTCCTCTGGGCAGATGCTGACCTTCATTATGCTTGCCCGGCTGGCCACCCTGTGTCCTGCACCTGTCCTGCAGAGGGTGGACCGACTCATTGAGCCACTAAGGGCCACCTGCACTGCCAAGGTAAGTCCCTGGCCCAGCCCTAGCCCAGGCCCTGGAGCACCTACTGAGTCCTTGGCCAGTTGTTCAGTTACCCCTTACTGAGCACTTCCTGCAGTGCAGGTGATATTGTGAAAGTGCTTCATTTAATCATTATCATTGCCCTATAAAGTGCTTTTTATTGTCATTTTATACACAGGGGAACAGAGGCTTTGAGAGGTTGTTATTGGCCAAGGCTACACAGCCAGTAAATTGCAGAGCTGGATTCAGACCCATCTCTGTCTCTTCTTCCATTCATTAAACACTTCCTGGGTGCTGAGCCTCATGGGAGATACTAAAGATATAACATTGAGCCTGATAGGTTCCCTACTGTCAATCTCTCACCTCCTTGTTGGGAAGCTGGGTCAGGTGATTGATCTAGGGCAAAGCTGCCGCTAGACTGGAGTGCCTGAAGGGTCTGGAGGAGGGATCTGGAGTGGAAGCTCTCATGGAAAGCTGGTGCTGGGAGCAGAGCCTGGCATCTATGCTCTAGGTGGTACCTAGTAAATACCTGTTGAATGGAAGAATATATCTGGGTTTTTTAAGAATGGGAATCATTACCAAAAGGAGAGCAGTGTTTTAGATTGGCGCTTAAAGAGGAGAGATACCCATAGAGTGGTGATTTTCAAAAATGAAATCTTTTGTGGATAAAATATTAAAATTGGTAGTTTATTCATAGAGACCTGCCTTGTAAGTTTACATTTTTAACATATGCTTACTATTGAGTCAATCCAAAAAAATGCTTCTACAGGGCCAGGCCAGTTTTGACAGTCTCTGTGGCCAAATCATTTCTAGTTTTCTCTGAGCTCTATGGCACCAAGGAAAGTCCCAGTTCTGGCTCTGTTGCCCAGGCTGGAGTGCAGTGGCGCAATCTCGGCTCACTGCCACCTCCGCCTGCCTCCTGGGTTCACGCCATTCTCCTGCCTCAGCCTCCCGAGTAGCTGGGACTACAGGCACCTGCCACCATGCCCAGCTAATTTTTTGTATTTTTAGTAAAGACGGGGTTTCACCGTGTTAGCCAGAATGGTCTTGATCTCCTGACCTTGTGATCCACCCACCTCGGCCTCCCAAAGTGCTGGGATTACAGGCGTGAGCCACTGCGCCCGGCAAAAAGTCCCAGTTCTTAAGAGGGGAGGTATATATGGCACTGCAGTGCCAGAACATTCTTGCAGTAGGCCGAGGTGGCAAGAGAAGCTCTGCTCTGAGTTTCTACAAGAGCCACTCATCTGGCCATGCGGAGGATGCTGTCTGTTGGGCATTGGGATGAGCGTGGATACATCCACACCCACAGTCCTTACCCATGATTCTGAATCTACCAAGCTCGGACAACCAAAAGCTTTTAGGAACCTGTTTGTCACAAAACTTGACTTGAAGTGGCATGAGGCTATGATCTTTAATTCTCGCCAATGTACCACTTTTATGTAAGGGACTTGAACATCTGAGGATTTTGGCATCCATTGGGATCCTGGAACCAAACTCCCATGGATACTGAGGGACACCTTACTACTCACAGTACTCATACATGTAGTAGAGTATTCATGTATTTGATTACAGGGTATTGTACAAGACCCCCCGGGAATGTAATCTGCACAGTATTACCTTTCTAAAACCCAAAATGTCCTGGATTCCAAAGCACATTTGGCTCCAGGGGTTTCAGAGAAGGGAGTGTGGACTTGTGTCAAGTTGTTTAATCTTCTTGGCAACTCTTATGAAGAGGCAGCTGTTACTTACAGATGGGGAAATGAGGCTCAAAGATGTAGTTACCTGAAGTCACAGCTCTTGGGGGCAGAGCCATTTGAATGCAGGACTCTGCAACTCCAATGCCAAGCTGTTATCCACTGCATTGAATTCTTTAGGAAGAGCCCAGCATAAGGAATTTGAACTTTAGTCCATTAGCAATGGAGGAACTGCTGTGCTCCTCTGCCTAAGTGGGAGATGGTGGGGGAAGAGGAAACAAACTGCAGGAGGTAGTTTGGGGTGCTTACTCTCCGGCTGCATCTGTAGAACGGATCACTGCGCAGGGACTTGAGTGCAGGGAGGAGGCTGCTAGAAGACCATCACAGTGATCCATTCATTCAGTCTAGTCATATGGTGCTAAGAGCTGGTTTTAAGCACAGTATAGGCTGGATCCCTGCAGTCTGTAGGAGGTAAGTATGGGAACACAGTACTTGCCACTGTCAATCAACAAAAAGTGAGCATTTTAGATTGGCTGCTCTGAGGCCCCTCAGGCTGATTTGAATGGCAAAGAACCTCTGTGGGGAAACTAGCCAGTGTAAAAGCCCGAAGGTGGAGTTAGGACATGGCTGGTGAGACAGAAGCCTTAGGAGACCTCACAGCAGGGATTTATGTTGGGTAAGATGATGGGGCAAAGAGGAAGCCAAAGACCGGTGAGTAGGCAGTGGTGCGGGCCAGGCTCAATAAAGGATGGCTGTTTCTGCTGTTTCCTGCTTTAGGTCAAAGCTGGTTCCGTGAAGCAGGAGTTTGAAAAGCAAGATGAACTGAAGCGCTCTGCGATGAGGGCAGTGGCTGCCCTGCTGACCATCCCCGAGGTGGGGAAAAGCCCCATCATGGCCGACTTCTCTTCCCAAATCAGATCCAACCCTGAACTTGCTGCCCTCTTTGAAAGCATCCAGAAGGATTCCACTTCAGCCCCCAGTACAGACTCAATGGAGCTCAGCTAGTCCCCCCAGCACCGAGGTGGGCCCTCACTTAAGAGAAAGGAGCCCACCCAAGCCCAAGGCCTCCCCATTGCCCACTGCAGGTCTCTACTTTTGCCCTTCCACCATCTCACTGGGGGCCCTGCCGCTCCTGGTCAGGGCTTACAGTGCCTTCTCCAGGGACCCAACTCAAAAGGACCCCAGCCCGAGCTGCGAGGCTGCCAACAGTTGGGCCCCTTCCTTAACTCAGGACAGTCATCCAAAGAAATAGGGTGAGGAAGTTTTCCAGTGACTTCACACTGTATCCCTCCATAGTCTGTCTGGTTCCTTCAGAGGGTGTCTCTGCCTCACAAACTAATAGCATTTAGAAATAGGCTGTGCTGTCAGCTGTAAAAGGTCAGGAGGCCACAGACACCACTCTGGTTTCTTCACTGCATTCAGCAATGCCTGAAGTTAGTGCTCAGGCCGGGCATCTCAAAAAGAAAAGATACTTGGGTCATTCACATTTTAAAATTCAAAACGGTTCATTTCTAAGTGGCAGCGATGAATCAGAAATTTGGATGATATGTTTCTTTTCCAGGGAGAAATGGGTTGGGTAGGGAACTGGACAGGCTTGGACCTCGTTTCATTTCTAATTTCAAAATACTTATTAGCAAATTGGGCAACAAGGAATTAGACATCTTCCATGCCACCACCCAGGCATAACCAGTTGGTTTGTTTCCTTCTGAGGAAGGTTTCAAGTGTGTCTAGTGTTTAGCATTGAGGACAAAGAAATGCAAGTGGCAGGCCCAAGTATTTTCTGTGACATCCCAGGTTAATAAAGATTAGATTCTAAGTTACTTCTTTTCTCTACACAACTCGTGTCCAATTGTTAGACCAATATCTTGAATGCACTTGTCAATTTGTAAGAAATCCCAAAAATGAGGCTGGGTGCGGTGCCTCACGCCTGTAATCCCAGCACTTTGGGAAGCTGAGGCGGGCGGATCACCTGAGGTCAGGAGTTTGAGACCAGCCTGGCCAACATGGCAAAACCCTGTCCCTACTAAAAATATTAGCTGGGTACGGTGGCAGGCCTGTAGTCCCAGCTTTCAGGAGACTGAGGAGATTCAGGAGAATCGAGTCGCCTGAACCCAGGAAGCAGAAGTTACAGTGAGTCAAGATCAAGCCACTGCACTCCGGCCGGAGTGACAGCATGACAGTCTCCAGGAAAAAAAAAAATCCCCAAAATGACCAGTTTACATTATAAATATTTATGACTAGGTTTTGAACAGGAGACAATCTGTAAGATGCCTATCTACTAGAATGAGACTAGACCTAGAGAAGCTTTGTTATAACCAGCGCAGCATTTCTGGTAAGTTGACCGGATGGTTACTGAAAAACATCCTGTAAGCATTTCCATCTCGTAAGTACCACATCCCATATCCCTCATGACCTATATACACTATGTAAGGTGCCTGTAATCCCAGTACTTTGGGAGGCTCAGGAGTTCAAGAGCCTAGGCAACATGGCTAGACCATCTCTACCAAAAAAACTTCAAAAACTACCCAGGTGAGGTGTGCATCTGTAGTCCCAGCTACTTGGAAGGCTGAGGTGGGAAGATCACCTGAGCCTGGGGAGGTCAAGGCTGCAGTGAGTGTGCCACTGCACTCTCAGCATGGGTGACAGCAAGACCCTGTCTCCAAAAAAAAAATCGGGGCCACGTGTCACTAAATTCTAAGAGTACCAGTCAAGAGGCTCAATTGTCACCAGTTAGGTCCCCGCCTTGGCAAACTGCTGTAACATTATACCTGAAGCAGCAGCTGGTGGGAAGGTTACAGGAGACTGAAAGTGCTCTTCCAGTAACCGTGGTGGATTACCTGGAAAAGCAATTTGTACATCATCCTGTTCTTTCTGGACAGAAGTTACAGGATGCAATTTAGGCATCCCATAACAATCTGTTTAAGAAAGTCATCTGGGTATTTCCATGCATATTTTCTCAGTTCTCACAAGCATCACACGGAATAACTTGTCACCCAACTTTACAAAGCAAGGTTAAAAATGACTACTTGTGGCTTGGGACCCACAGCTTCTCCAAGTGTCTTACAACCTACCAAGTCTGTGCCCCTCATCCCCAGCCTCAACTGTGCACTTGAGGCCACGTTCCCCTGTTCAAGGACCGAGTGTCCTTTACAAATCCCCTCCAAGTGGGAGATGCCAAAGGGGTTTAAGCAAAAGAACGATCTCTGTGACAAACTAAGTTAGCCAAGAAGCTGAAGACCTAAAACCAAGGAAGGAAGATGCCAGATGGCAGTTTTTACATTTATTTAAACAGAAAACGTGCACATGAGCTGTCTACTCATTTTCTTCACTGCGCAGCCTGGCGTTGGGGTTGGTGACTCTGATGGCCAGCTGGGCAGCTCTTTCCACGATGGCTTTGCGGTTCTTGGAAGAAACATTGTGAGCAATCTCGGCACAGTAAGATCTGTAAGAGAATCAAGTAGGTAAGGAACAAGACAGCCCTGAACACACTTGGAAAATTCCATTAAGAAGGCAGAGAGTTCCAGCACCAAGCTAAGAGAGGGCTGCTTGGTATGTGGCTGTGGAATGACACCTACATGCCCCCAAATCCTGACTCCCGAGTCTGTGGTTCCCTGGTGATGACAAGAACACTTTCATTTACAAAGTATCCTCACTTTTCCCTCTCATCTAATCCTTACAGCAGCCTTGTAATCCAGGCATTACCTCCATTTTACAGATAAGGAAACCAAGGCCCACAGCAAGCAATGGACAGGGATCCAGGGTGAACCCAGGCCCACGCTCCAGGTTCAATGGTTCTCCCCCAGTCGCAGGGTGCTTTACCTTGCCCATGAAGTTTCAGAACTCTTCAAAGTGGTCAAGAGCAGAACCCAAGAGTCTGAATGGAGCCAAGGGCACCCAGTTTGACCACTGAGGATACAAAGCAAGTAGAAGCAACAATGCTTAAAGTCACCCAGTCATAGCCATGCCTAATACCGGAGGACGTGGTGTGCCAGATCCAGTTCTAACTCATTCCTTACGACTTTTTAAGAGGCAGCCACACTGTGCCCCATTTGATAACCAATTGGCCTAACAAGCACACTTCAGTAAGGAGGTGATTTATGAAGCCACCCACAGTGGGTTAAGAACAGACATTCCACCCCTGAAGCATTTTCAGCAAAGAGAGAAGCAGCAGGACTGTGAGGAGTGATTAAATGAGGCAGTGGACACACAGCTCTTTTCAAGAACCCTGCCTTAACAGCAAGACAGCAAATCCAGACAATTCTTGTTTTACATTAGTCCACTCAAATTCAAAGCAACTATATTTTTAAATGTTTCTATGTTTCAAAGGCTTAGGTTTATATTACACTTCTCATCTGTCCTTCTCAAAAAACTCTCCTGTCCTTGTCCATCTACATATTTGATAATTACAGAGTGTACCCACCATTTTAAATGTGTCCCCCTAGCTTGGGCATTTTCCATACTACAACAGGCCAATCATTTTGAATAGACTCACAACATTCTATCCAGCACTCTACAATTCTCTCATTATATTTTCAGTTGTTTCCAGTTGTACTGCTGCAATGACTAGCTTTTGTTTCCCTGCTTTTCCATTCCTTAAGGACAAATGCCCAGAAATGGAACTTAGAGATCAAAGGTCAGAGATAACAGAGTATTTCCAAGGATCTTAAAAAGACTGCCAAGCTGCACTTACAGAGCATATGGCAACCAGCCAACATGTGCACTGCAACTGAGTAATCATGTTGGCCTGTTACAGTTCAACTGTGGTTTCAGTGTCCACCATTAATTCCTATGCTCATCTTTTTCTAACAGAAATTTTCAGCATTTCAACGCCTGGTTAAATTTCCAGCCTTGGAAGGTAACCACGTTAGAAAACTGCTCTTGTTCATTTTTATTACTTATATCTACAACCACTGTAGATAAAAGATCTTTGTAAACATAAACACAAACATCCTAGTTACTCACACACACTCCATGTTCTTTCTAGTTTACTTAGGAAAATTCAGCTTTTTGGCTTTCATTTACCAGTAAGTGAAGAAAATAAACTGTCACTTCCCATGAGAATTTTTCATTCCACTGCCCTAGTTTTGGTCTAAGCAGGTCACCAAGTCTCTTATACACAGAGCTCATCAAGTGTCTAACTTACTCAAAACACCTAGAACTAGCTGGGTGTGGTGGAGCATGCCTGTGGTCCTAGCTACCAGGAAGGCTCAGATGGGAAGAGACAGCTTGAGCCCACCTTGAGTTTGGGGCTGCAGTGTGCCATGATCACAGCTGTGAATAGCCACTGCACTGTAGCCAGGGCAACACAGATGCATCTGTCTCTCTCAGATCAAACCAGGCCAGGTACAGTAGCTCATGCCTGTAATCCCAGCATTTTGGGAGGCTAAGGCAGGCAGAATACTTAAGGTCACGAGTTCAAAACCAGCCTGGCCAAGATGGTGAAACCTCACCTCTACTAAAAATACAAAAATTAATCAGGTATGGTGGTGCACGCCTGTAATCCTAGCTACATGGGAGGCTGAGGCAGGAGAAACGCTTGAAACTGGGCGGTGGAGGTTGCAGTGAACCGAGGTCATGCCACTGAACTCCGGCCGCGGCAAAAGAGCGAGACTCCATCTTAAAGAAACAAAAACCAATAAAACCCACCTAGAGCCAATGCCCTGCAAACCCTCCATGCGCTTTCACTTCTACACCTTTGTGTAAGCACTCTCTGCCTGCCAAGTTTCCTCCTGTTCTCCACCTAATCCAAACTGGGTTCTAAAGCCCTCCTGTCCCTGAAGATACCCCTTACCACAGCACAGACTAAAGGGCCCCTTAAGGCCTAAGGTCCATGTTTGATCTTCTCCCTACCCTCCTTGTAAGCCAAAAATAAAATTCAAAGGCCCCCAGCAACCATCTGAATGCACTCCCTCCTTGAATAGGGCACTCTTGGTTTCCACAACCTCTTACCATAGCCAAGACATTCCTTTCTAGTGATAACCAATTCCCGATGAGAAACAGAAAATCTATTCAAAACCTCGAACTGCCGCCTTTCTGGACTAAACCAATGTATGCCTTAAGTGTATTTGATTGATGTCTCATGCCTCCCTAAAATATGTAAAACCAAGCTGCTCCCTGCCCACCTTGGACCCATATTCTTAGGGTCTCCCAAGGGCTGTGTCCCAGGCCATGGTCAACTCATATTTGGCTCAAAATAAATCTCTTCAAATATTTCAGAGTTCAACTCTTTTGGCTGACACCTTCATAAAGAAAGCAATGTTCTGGAAACAACAGCCAAAGGGTATTGTAGTAGTGGAAAGTGGTTATTATTGCAGTGTTCACAAAGCAGTCTTTTCCTGGTCTTGGGTCTCTACACTTAGAAGACCAAGCCTCCTCCCTCCGGTAAAGGAAACACCTTGAACTCCCCAAATTCTTTACTCCCCAACAAGCATTCTCTAAAATCCCGCAAGGAACAACTTCAGATTCCCTCAGAGAATGTACAACCAACTCCTCCCAGCCAAAATGCATCCCCCAAGAGTTTCTAGAGTTCCTGCCAGAAGTGCTCACACAGATGCAAACTTCGGATCCCTGAAAACTAGAGGTGGGACCCAACTCACTTGTTGCACATCAGCAGCACTTCCAGCTCCTTGACGTTGTGGACCAGGAACTTCCGGAAGCCACTGGGCAGCATGTGCTTTGTTTTTTTGTTGCTCCCATAACCAATGTTGGGCATCAAGATCTGGCCCTTGAATCTTCTACGAACCCTGTTGTCAATGCCTCTGGGTTTCCGCCAGTTACGCTGAAGGAAATAACACACAGGTGGGTTAGCGTCTGTGCAGAGTGCCAACTGTTCCTTTGGGGAGGGAAAAAGGACCAGATGAAAAGGAAGTATGCCACACAGTAGCTGCCTTTGGTGACAGGACTTCACTATTTCCTTACTTTTTTGGTGGGAAAAACCAGGAGCTCGTGGCTTTAGCCACTAGGAATGCAGGCACCCCTGCCATTCTCACTCCCAAGAAATGGAGACACCAATGGGATGCGAGGGGACTGTGTAGATACTGAGATGGCGAGCACAGCTCCAGACACTGCTCTCAGCACCTCTGAGTTTTCCTGTCCATAATATAGGGATCCTGCTGTCATAAGGCAACCCAAAATACACGACACAAATGCAAAGCCCTCTAAACACATCGAAACAGCCAAGTGTCCCTTCTCATTTAAATTTCACTTAACACATCAAGAGATGTTATGTACCAGCGACACAAATGCAAAGCCTTCTAAACACATCAAAATAGCCAAGTGTCCCTTTTCATTTAAATTTCACTTAACACATCAAGAGATGTTAAGTACCAGCACTAGGGCACACTGGGGGAGACCTGTATTTCTACAGAAAGCTCTTCCACAAACCAGTTCATAGGTCAAAGGTAATCCCGACTAGGTGATGTCAGAAACCGACAGCCTGTTGGAAACTTCTTTCTTCACCCCACACCCATTTCCATCCCAGGACCACATACCTTAATTTTGACATATCGGTCTGACTGGTGCCGGATGAACTTCTTGGTTCTTTTTTTGACGATCTTGGGCTTCACAAGGGGTCTGAGGGCGGCCATGATGCCTTCTGGGAAAGAAGCAGCCCCAGGTGAGGAAGAATCCTGGAAGGAGGCTTGGAAGGAGGTTTTCCCACCCAGCGATTGAACACTGTCGCAGAGTGTCTTCCAATCGTCAGCTACGGAGCAAGCTGGGAATGGAATGGGTGCCTCTGCCAGGCTTGCTTTCCCTCCCTTTCCGAAGCTGGCAGAATACTAGGCACTCTCCAGACGCGATCCCAGGAGGTCAAAGGTCAACTCAACCACTCAGAGCCCAAAGAATGCCAACAGCTGAGCAAACCAAAACCGACCCCAAGACACTCAATTTGCAAGGGGCAGCAAATCCCACCTCGCCAGTGTCCGAACCCCGAGATGGCCTTGACCATCTACTTGGACCTGAGTCTCAGTTTCCTCACCTGTAGAATAGAGATGACACTGCACGCTGAATGCCTGCAGTGCCTGTCACAGGGTAAACGCTTAATAAAGAAAACCTTCTAATTCCCTAGGGAGCTGCTGCGCTACCACACCCTCAACACACACAAAACCATCATATCCGTCTAAGGATGCCTCAAACCTGGAGATCTTGCAGTATCAACTCACACCTTCCTCAGTGTGGTCTTCAGAGCCATTCATTTATTTCCTACAGCAGCAACCCTTCTGTTCGCAGCCATCAACTGGCACAGAGTGGGTAATCAGTGAACCACGTATTCAAAACGACTTTGCCTTCTGGCCCATGATATCCTCGAAGGCAAGGTGGGGGCAGTTGCATCTTATTTCCAGAGATACTACCAGAATTTCTGCCTGCAACTGAACCAGCAGCCGCAGCAGCCCTAGGGCCCGAGACTGTAGCGAAGAAGCGGGCTATAGCAATGAACGAATACACGTGGGCCGACATCGGTGAGCGCTGGGATCCACAGATCCCAGCTGACGGCTGTCAAGCTGGGACACCCCTGGTCGTCCCACGGCCCACAGGAGAACCCGCAGTCTGGGCTCAACTAGCACCCTCCACCGCCAAGGAACAAACAAGCAGCCCGCAGCTCTGACTACAAGCGGAGAGCAGGAGGCTCTGGGACGCAAAGCCCCATCAACCCGGGCTGCTTCGTTCTGCTCCTGTACACGCCCCAGTAAGCTGACAATAACAATACCCACAGCCACTACCGCGCCGAAGGGGAGGCCCCCGCACCACTGGGCAATGGGGCCAGATGAATCCCGCAGGAATGCAGATGGCCACGGATTAAGACTTACCGAGGAAGAGATGGCTGCCACCTCCGTAGGCAGCGCCGAGGAAGAGAGAAGGGACAGTGGCACGCAAGGGCTGATGGGACGTAACCCCCTGGGTCCTGGCAGGGAAAAGGCAAGCACTTCCGGTTCGGCTCTTTCAAATAAAATAAAGACACGTCAAAAAATAATGCCGCAAAAAATTCTGAGTATACATGTTTTAATAGACCGTAATATCTAGGCATATGACTGAAAAATATATTCTACCTATCCTTGGGTCTACGTAGAAATTTGGAATTCTTTCTGAGCTAATAAGACCTGGTGGAGAGAGGCACTTACTTCCGCCAGAAGTTGAAGCCAATCCGCTTTTGGGCTATTTCCGCCCGCGTTTCTTCTACTCCGAAGTGCGCCTCTTAGTGGTCAGAAGAGAACAAGACAGAGACTTCCTAATAATTTCCTCACCGAATTTAGACAGTAAATAGTAACGAAACTATGATAGCTAACATGCGATGGAGTTCACTATGCCTACCACAATTCTATAACGTACCCCTATTATGTCTCCATTTTGCATATGTGGAAGGTGAAATTTGGAGACTTGACTCCAAACTCCATGCCCTAACCATTATGCTAAATGGCCTAGTTTTTGTTTGTTCATTTTTTTGGAGATGAGGTCTCACTTTGTTGCCCAGACTGGTCTCGAACTCCTGGGCTCAAACGATCCTCTCGCCTCAGCCTCCTGAGTAGCTAGGATTACAGGCA